GCGTTTGCCCGGGAATGGGGTTGGTTTTCAAGGGAAGGGGCGTGGCACGTGCCTTATGACTTATGGCAAAATGTTATTGCTATTCTTACAATTGTTGGTTTTTTTTTGTAATGTTCTGATTGTTGGCAATATTGTTGATCTGATTAAGGGCAACGATAATGAGGATCAGTGCGGGTAGGAGCTAGACCTAGAGCCTACAAACAGACTAAGCATATTTGCTTTTAGCACAGACTGAAATAAACTCCAGTACAGATACAAATACGGTTACAGATTCAGATACGTAAGCATGTGTCCTTCACAGCTGCAGACAGTGCGCATAAATTATGCTAAATACAATTAAATCGAGTTGTTGCGCTGGCAAATTCACTGAGCAAATGACTGACTGAGTAACTGACAGATTGCCAGACGAAATGCGTGGCTTCAGCTTATTGACAGCGTCTTGGCAGCCAGCAGACTTGGCTCATTAGCCTCAGTTCATGCCCTCAACCCTCACCATAATGTGTGTCAAAAGTTGGCATTTGAAGTAATTAAATTTAAATTGGATTCAACAGCCAAGAAATTCGCGCAGAATAAGGAAAATAAAACAACAACGATAACAAGTCAGAACAATTATTTTTGAGTTGCCAAAGATTGAATACTCTTCCTAATAACAATTAAAAGACGTACTATGCATATAAGCTGCCTCGAAGGTGTGTTAATTTTAACATTAATTATCTATACATATGGAAAGAGTCTAGAAGATAACCGACGATATATCCTGGTACTAGCTACCGATAACTATCTATCTACCTCACAGTTGAGGTTATCAGTCGAAAATTATTGATTTAAAGGAAAATTTCTCCACTGCTAACTATTAACTGTGATGATTATAATTTGGTCTCCCAAATCTCTAAAAATTAACATATAAAAGGACAGTTACCTTAGAGGATGTTTCACTAAATCTGGTTGGTTCTTCAAGTCTTTATTCAGCTATACAGACGGACAGATACCACGCAGAGAGACGTAAAATAAACTCTGGAAGAAATCAGTAATACACTTCGCAAGGGCATCAAAATATGATGACTGGAAGACAAACTTTTTTAATCCTTTGCTCATTTGTTCTTTGGTTGTGCATGAGGCAGGAAAGGTCATATTTATGGTGGAAAGGTTCTCCTTAAGGGGGGCCTGTTGCGCAAGGGATGCCTTCTGGGGTGCGTCTGTGCACATTTCCGTATTATTAAAACTTTAAACGAAAAAGTTTTCGTTTATAGTGGATTTTAATAATACGAAATATGTTGACGAGTTTCGTTCTCCACGCAGTCTGAATCAACTGATTTAAATACAATTTGTGGCCAAAAACGCTTGACTTTAGCATTAATGAACCCAGTTTTGCCCTTGGCCAAGGCTAAAACCAATTAAAAGGCTTAGCTGTGCAAAGAAAAGTAGTTACATATAAAATGATATACAGCTGATCAGGGAATACCTTTAACATATGCTTTTAGTAAAGTTGTACTAAACCTGCATATATTTATTGCTGAGTGTTTTTAGCTTTTGTCACAGATCCACGAGTCCATAAACTATGTGAAGCCAAGATTTTCTATGACAAATAGTCGTTCAGTTTTGAATCCACCTTGAACGAACTATTTGCAGCTTAGACATATAAAGTTAGCCAAATCGAAACAAATTATTACTAAAGCTTCCTAACAAGCTTCCATTCCGCACTTCTGTTTTGTGTCTGCAAGGAAATTTAATCTTTCGCTTAAAGTGCAAAGTGTGACGAAGCACTTCCTGATATTCCCTTGGCCAAATCAATGCTCTAAGGAGAAGCCATAGAGTGATGAGTGGAAGCTGCAGGGGACACTCGACAGACGGGTAATGCCATCACAATTTCTTGTAACTAACCAAACAGATCGTTAGCGAATGCTCACACCTATGCCGTGTGCAAAGCTGGCTGCCCCGGCCCCTTGCCCAGCCGTATAAACATTGCGCGCATTCGTCGATATTTCATATATGGATTACGTCCGCTGCGGTCGATGTTGCTCCAAATGACTCACAATTAAATGCGATCCGCATGAAGAAAAGTAAAGCCTAACTCGCCTGTCTTTCACTGCCACTGAAAGCGAAAGCGAAATTGTTATTTTGCAACATGCAACTGCAGCAACAACTGCAACAACAACTGCAACAATAACCGCCACAGCAACAAGCTTAGCAGCGGCGTCTCGCAATAATTGCGAGCAAATATTACATGTGAGCGTTGAAGTTGCAAAGCCACAGTGGTGCTAATTGATTTTGTATGTTGCAAAAATCATCAATGCTCAACAGATGATATATTGAACTTTCTGATTAAAAAGTTTCGATATTTTTGATCTCTGTTGGGCTTTCTGCTACTACTTTTCTGTTATAATGCATCGAGCACTAAGGCTGACACTAGTTTTTACAATCAATTAATTATGTTAGCAAAATACTGTTTGTACATATATATTTCCTAATTGTCCTCTAATACGATTTTGCTAATACTGAATTTCTTGATACATTTGTCTGGTGCATTCATTTTACCAACTGCCTCTGTAAAAATTAAAATTTCTGCTACGCCTCCCAATAGATTCCACTGTGCGCCGCTAGCTAACAGCGTCAGTGGGGGCTGGCCTCGACTAACTGCATATTATCGAGACAGTCGATGACGATAAAAACTACAGCTACAACTACAACAGCAACAAAAACAACAACAACAGCCTAGCTGACATCATAATTATCGATCGTACTGTAGCTGCCGCTGGCTCAAGTAATTATGCCAAAAGCGCGTTTATTATGTGTGCGTGTGTGTGCGTGTGTTTGCGTGGCGTATGAACGAAAGAAAAACCAATGAAAAGTGAAAATGATACAGAAAATACGCCAAGGAAATCGATCAGCGTGTTGTCAGCACATAAAAAGTAAATCAAGGCGAATTAAAGGTACCCTGCGAATATTTTATATATATAGTTCGTATTTAATACAACATCAATTTAGGCTTTAAGCTATGTTGCATCGATAAGAAACGTGGAATTTATTGTATTTTTTTATTAAAAACTAATTTTTAACAAAGTTAGGGTGAGAGCATCTCTAATCTGAATAGCAGTAATATATGCGATTTTAATTTTGTTATAGCTAAAAGCCAGACCAAAACTTCTGACATAGCCAAGAGATGTACAGCAAGGGTAGAAAAGCGGCTAGTGGCGGAATAAAAAAGAAAATTGCTAAAAAAAATAGTTGCCTGAGCATTTGCTTATTTAGAGCGTTCCGCGCAGACATGTTTGCGGCGTGTTATGAAATACTTGGTAGCATAATTAAACCAGCTACAACAACAACTAACCAGTGTGTAATAACAGAAAAAAATGTAGGAAAAGTCGGCTAAGCTGTAATTTACTAACTCGATACCGAAATATTATTTAAATTTTATAGTTGCTAAATGGTTTTACAAAATTGTTTCATCGCTAAAAAAAAAAAAATATTTACAAAAATATTGAAATTATTGTGAATCGATCCAGTTTTGGGCTATCTTAGCTTTGATGGCAAAGTGTAGATGCCTTGGGAAACATCTCGATGATGCAAATTCGATTTCAACTGCAGTTTCATATCAGATTGGTATTGAAACAGCCAGGACATCCGCTAATCTGATCGCTTTTGCATCGATTGAAGGTCGTCTCTTTGGCTCTTGCCCATATCAGTTGCGTGTAACATATCAATGTTTTCGATGCTCGCATGCACATTACTTGCCCCATCAACTGTTTTCACCACCATCTGAGGTCTGTTCCACAGGGCACAGGCCGAGCAGACAGCAGCAGCAGCAGCAGTTACCCAGGTGTTGACCGAAGGGAGATGAGTCGCATCATTTTTAAACAGTTCGCTTTCAGATGCAGCGATTTGATCTTCATTTAGCATATTTGAATGCTGCCCAAAAATAAAAAAAAAACTAATCTAATAAAATTAGCAAAATAATTTTGAGATTTTCAAATTTCAAAACTTTTTGTAGATGTTGCCTATACGTCACTTTCCGAAAGGGCTTCCGTATGGGAATATTCAGACCCCGTCTAACAGCTCACATGCAGAACGCGCTCTAGGCAGGCGCGTGAATATATATCATCAAATCGTCCATAGAACAAAAAAATTACATTCCTAAAACAGTTGGTGCAATCAATATAACTTTGAGCATTGACTTTGACGGATGAAATGCGCTGAAAGACCATCGCATATGGCTAATTTAGAGTTGTATTCATTAGCTAGTTGCCCCTCTCATCAAAGAGATTGCCAAACACGCAATAGGAAGACGGGCAACGCGAAAGCGAACGGTGTTGTGATGGCTGCATATGCTCCAGTTTCCTGCTGTCCATTGCCGTTGAAACCGATCTTGTGACTCGTTTTAGTCGCTTTCATGACATAATGGCATGTCGAGCGTTGGCGAATTTGATTGATGGCGCTTCGGCTGTAGCTGGCGGGAGCCGAGCTGAGAGCTTTAATTGATGGAGTGTCAACCGATTGCCAAATGTGTTACAAATCAATGAAAATGCAATGCGAAATGCACATTTTGTTTGTTTGGCCCTCGGTCGAATGCTTAGCAAATTTGTATTTACAGATTTGCAACAGAGCTCGACTGAGCTCGGACAGCAAACTTTTAGCGTACTTGTATTTACCTTAGCATCTTCATTATGCCCAAATACTATGTCCCCGTCTAGTTAGCTACCAACTCACATCACATCATGCTGTCACAGCCGTTTGTCGGCTCATACCCGGTCCTCAGTTACAGTCCAATCTTCACTGGGCGCCTTCTTCCCCTCTTGACCAGTCTTGTTTGCTTTTTGCTTTAACGGCTTTTGGCGCTGTCAACAAGGTTCGTGTCAGGTAAACAGATTATGTAAAAACACTCTAGGAGGCAGTTCCCCACTACGAGATACCCTGAACCCAGCGACTAATATAGTTTAAGACGCGATAGATTTAGAGGGGGTAGAACCCAGCTCGTCCTGATCATTTCAATATATTATATTAGGTTTTAATTTTTTGCTGCGCCATTCCTTTTATTTTCGCATTTGAACCAAATTCACTTGAAATCGAAGCAGAAACAATTTTAAAATTTTGAATCAATTAAATTTAAACCATATGCAAATCAACGCCTAATAACAGTTTGTATCTGTGTCCTCATCCATTTTTTCTCAACGCCCTAGGGATCGTGCATTTTCAGCCACGAAACATTGCTCGTCATCTTTCAAAGCTTGACCCTCAAGGCGCAACTCGATCGATTCATTATCGACCGACACATTTTCGATCGATTCATTTTCAATCGATTCATGTTCGATCGATTCATTGTCAGTCTTCGACGCAAATTTCAAATTTCGTAGCTTGACCCACATAGCCCAAGTGGAGTACATCATAACTGCGCCGGCAGTTAGCCAAGCGTTTCCCTCGAACATATCCGCTCCAGAAGTGGTTGTTGCTGGTGCAGGTGCCGCTGGTGCCGGAGTAGCTGGTGCATCACCCATTATGAAACTATTGAAAGCAAACAATTTTTTTTTTTTATTATTTTACAAGCAAACGGCAATATTTTAACTTACTTTTATTATTTTCCTTGCTAAGCGTCGTTATTGTTTGTGAGAGCTCTTAGTTAAGAATGCGTTAGGAAATAAATCGAAAATCAAATAATTTGTGTTTAGAATTCGAAATTTTTTAAACTAACGTCTTTTACAGAATGAAGAATTTGTTATAAATTTCTTTAAAGTTTTGTGTTGCTTTGGGATCGAAGTGTTGAATGAGAATGATGAAAATTCCCAATTCTATTCAAAGGTCGGAAAATTGTTTACAGCCGCCTGCTGAAGTAAATTTATATTTCTACAATTGTGTTAGAAAAAAAAAACAAGTGTTCAGTCCGACTTTGAGATACTTCTGCTCGTCAGTCGCGCAAAATGATAATTAGATATGATAATTGATTCTTAAGAAATGATATCTTAACAGGTAGGCAAAGATGGCAATCATATACTGACATTTGCAAAAAAAAAAACAAAAACTAGGGCACATCGTCGAAAAGAGAAATGTATTGATAGAAAATTACATGTAGCATACCCCGTTTTTTCATGCCCGAAAAATGTTTAAAAAAAACTTTTTGCAAAAAGCATAAGCAATCATTTTGGATCCCATACAGTATACATATATATAATTACTTGATCAAAACGACGAAATAAGTCCGCAAATAAGACGATATCATCTAAGGCCCCCCAACCCCATCTTTTGGTACAGCGTACGCATTCTTAGCATATTTCACTTCTAGTTCTAGCCTTTATCCCCTAAATTGACCAAATTCTCTTCTAGCTGCACCAAATATAGCTCGTGCGAAAAACTCGTTTGTTTACATCACAAACTACTATACAATTTTAGTTGCCATCCTGTAGAACCTTTCGGGCAACAGCATTCAAATTTCAACTTGTGGGTTATTCAAATTTATTGTTGATTTGTTACTAACGGGCGGAGGCGGGGTCGATAGGTGTAGATCAAGAATCCTTGATTCTATACATCTCGTCTAGATGACTAGATTTCTTTTAGGTTCCAAGAGCGACACGCACACAGACACGGTTCCGAGATGCCACCATTTTGAATTGTCAAATATTTGGAGTGGAAAATTTATTTTATTTTCGAAATCCCTGCGATCCATCCTTTTAGATATAAAACTACATTTAATTGCTTCTACAGTTTTTAATTTTGGCAGTTTATTTTCTTGCACCCCACTTGTCATAGTAGCACAAACGACAATTAGGCAACAGCAAATTGTTTGGTGTAAGTGAAAGTGTATGTGTGTATTAATGTGCGAGTGGTTATGAATGTAAAGCGTAAAAAGTTACTTGCGACCCCCCTAAAATCGCAAGCATTTCAACGCCTCAAAGTGTCTTCCGTGTCTTCTAAATACAATGCGCGTGTGTCTCTATCCCCGTCCACTTGTTTCAATTAACTTTTTTCGACGCTCGTCATCTTGCGTAGCTTGACCCTCAAGGCACAACTCTATCGATTCATTTTTGGTCGATTCATCTTCGATCGATTCATTGTCAGTCTTCGACGCAAATTTCAAATTTCGCAGCTTGACCCACATAGCCCAAGTGGAGTACATCATAACAGCGCCGGCAGTTAGCCAAGCGTTGCTCTCGAACATATCCGCTCCAGAAGTGGTTGTTGCTGGTGCAGGTGCCGCTGGTGCCGGAGTAGCTGGTGCATCACCCATTATGAAACTATTGAAAGGAATAGATTTTCTAATTATTTTTCAAATAAACTGAGCAATATTTAACTTACTTTTATTATTTTCCTTGCTAAGCGTCGTTATTGTTTGTGTGAGCTCTTAGAAACGAATGCGTTAAGAAATAAATCGAAAATCAAATAATTTGTGTTTAGAATTCGAAATTTTTTAAACTAACGTCTTTTGAGGAATGAAGAATTTGTTATAAATTTCTTAAAAGTTTTGTGTTTTGCAATTGAAGCGCTGAATGAGAATGATGAAAATTCCTAATTCAACTCAAAGGTCGTAAAATTGTTTACTGCCGCCTGCTGAAGTTAAAAACTGTTCAAAACGAAATACAAATTTGGTATTATTTTCAGACATAAAAACAAAATATTTACACTTTTACTTGTACTTACTTATATATTATTAAGTGAATTTCTATGTTAAATTTTAATGTTGTTTCCTATAGGAGCTCTAGTCAACGAATGATCTTAACTGGGAAAGCAAGTACTAGTCCTCTGAATTTGAATTCAGCAGCCTACTGAGTTCAATCTTAACACTAAATTTCAATTAAGTACAATGGAACAAATCGAACTTTAAAGGTATTAAAAGTATTAAGAATATAAACATGAATCGGGGCAACCTTTTCAAGACAATTGCTTATTAAGTTCTGTAGAAACAGATTTAAAAATAATGACATCAGGTCATATACTTATATTAGTAAATGGAAGCGTCTTTCACACTTTTCGCAAAATGTGGGCTTCCTCTATGGAAAACGCAAGTCACAGACTTTTTGGGGAAAGACTCCCCCATATAAAAACACATTAAGCTCATGTTTCAGCTTCTTTTCAAATTCATCCCGGAAAGGGTTCTATGCAAGTATTTTTGCATACCATCCGATCGCATTCAAAATCATTTTCAATGTTCTATGAGAATGTTCTTTGGAAAATATCCCGAATTTAAAGGTTTCAACGCTTTACAATTCGTTACTCAATTTTATTTTCAAAGCAATTTTCGGATGTTCGATCCGCAACTGTGAAAATTCAGTGGAAAGCTGTTGCTTGATTGTTTTAAACTAATTTTCAAAGATCTTGGATTAAAAATGCGGATCAAACGTTTAATGAACGAAACCAATAATATACCTCCCCTGTTTAAGCTCGACCATAGAGAATAAGAATAAACACTCATGTGAATGCCAATTACAGCTGAAGCTAATCACGAATGCGTTTCCCGTAGGAAGAAGAGTCACAGCATCGCAATAAGCGGCATAAGGAGAAGAAACCTGTAAAGTTTAACAAGGCAACTCGTGCGGTCTTTATCTGGCAGTCGGGCACACCCGACCAGTCACTTTTACTTGTTCCGCCAGCAAACGGACTTAGTGCAACAAAAGGCAACGCGATTCTGGCGGGTTGTGTGCCATGATGCGGCGAATACTGTAAAACTGCATTGTTTTAATGCATTTGCAATTGCAGGGGCCCAAATTTTTGAGGCGTTGCATTGGGCGTGGTCAGTGAGCGTAAACATTTTGGCAGTGGCAGTGGCCAACAACTGTACCAGGCGCTGGAGCTGGCAATTGGGGCAGACTCGGCTCAGAGCTCCGCTCTCGCCCATTTTCATTGTGCAATTGGAAACTTTCTGTAACAATAAAATTTTGCGCCAGGCTCCGAAAAAAAAGAACGCTACGAACAAAACGCCCAAGGCAGACAAAGTAGAATACAACAACTAAAGCCAACTTCGCGCTGCAGCCTACTTATGGGCGCTACGAAATCGGGGGGAGCATCTGAAGCGCAGCCTGGGTTGCTGCCGGAACAGAGGCCCTGGCTAGAACAGCAGCCGCATTTAACGCTCGGCATCCGTGTTGACTTTCGACGTGGTAAATTATGCTTGGTGCCACTTTTTCCTTTCTTTTTTTTTTATGAACATCCTCTGCCATGAAATTGGGTTGTATGCATTAGGTGGAATAGTAGAAATGTCTAAAAGGTGGCAATAAAATGCGCTCTACGAATATGTATCAATAGGAAAGAGATTTTGTAATCACAATAAATATCATTGAATATATAAATTTTGCTAGAAATCAAGCTAGGTCATACAAGTTTTCTATTCAAGAAATAAGTTTATAAACTAATGGGAGTTGTTTTTAAATTATTAGCTATTTGGGCCATTGTCGTTGATGCTAATTTAATAAAAATTATGTTGAAAAAAGGTTGCTTAATTTTATGCATTGTTTTTATTCTGATGTTTATTATTTTTCGGCTTGACTAACTAGACTAAATCTTATCTTCTTGGAAATAATAGAGTATTTCTTGTACAGGGTATGGCATGGTCAAGCTACATGGAAGTCCCTGTGCTATTGTAGCATTGTTTTCATTATTTTAGTCTCATGTTTGTTTCTGTTTGCTACTGCCGCTGCTGCCAGCCGCGCGGGCTCCTAAACGAAAGAACAGAAACAAATATGGCAAAGGGTCGTAGGCAGCTGCAGGCGCCGTGCATTTAATTTATGAACTTTGACCAATGTGCGTTTAATTTATTGAGCTGCCGCCGCTGCTCTCGAGTTGCGAGTTCAATTAGCAGGCAGTCAATAAATTAACAACGGACCACCTTAAAGCCAAAGTCGAAAGTGCAGTGCTTGCTGGCGCATTGATGGATTTGTGGCATGCTCGCTGGCAACAGGCTGGCACCATCGATGCACTGGCTTTCTTCTTTTTTTTTTGTGGCAGCATTTCGCATTTGACGTGCCACATTTTTTACACAGCCCACAAGTACCACCAGACATTAAGAAACGGCCAACAGCTGCCGAGGTTTTTATATTCCGCAGCCGTTGAAACTCGCTAACACAATTTGGCAAGTTCTCATGAGCAATGCTAAAAATTAAGGGCAAAATATCTCTCTGATTTTACTATTATTATAAGTCTAGGATATGGTCGAGTAGCGGCAGCCATTTACTAGCCTAAAATCTAGATCCTCGATTGTCAGTTGGCCAAATAGCTGAATCACGGCTTTAACGGAACTTTAGCTAAGCTCTAGTTAAGGGACTTTGCTATATAGATTGCTGTCGTCATGCATACTTGTTTCTACTACAGTTCATCATTGTTGCCCCGTCCAGATTTATAATGTCATTGCATTACTAAGGCACACGCGTACCTCATTAGCCAATAACAATCATCACCTTGACTGCTACGACCGCTCGGATATCCATTCGATTTATGGCCATTCACTGCTCAACTTTATCTAACTTGCCCCAATGCCCATTTAGTTATCAACTTTGCTCGCATTTCGCATTAGGGCTACCAAGTTTTTGGGGTCACAACACGAAACACGTAAGGCGCAAAGCACTTTTCGCACGCAGTTTTGGGCCTCGGGGTTGGCTTTTATGGTTTATAGTTGTCTCCGCGTTGTCTTCGCGTCTTTGCCTTGAAAGCGCCATAAATCTTTTTATGATTTTAGCTTGGCGCTGTCTCCGACTCCGAGTATGACTGTGACGCATACAAATTTTCGATGCGTGTGCCAATATATATATATTTCATTATATATGTATCTATCAACACACACATACGTTGCTCGGAA